CCTCGCACGTGTTGTCCAATATTGCACGTGTCTCTCTCTCGCTCTCTCTCTCTCTCTCTTCCTATTTTGCACCTTCATGTGGGAGTGTGCCGTGTTTGACTGTTCCCTGTCCAATTTACCGACGTCTCTGTCTGTCTACTCTCTCCCTTCTCTTCTGTCTGGCGCAGCTGCTGGAAACGGGGTCCAGCTTCCCTGAAATAAGTACGCAATGGATACACCAAGAAGATGATGCATCTACCGACATCTGTGACCTTTTTCATCATACGGCTGGGGCGAGAGGCAATTGATTGCTTCTCGGAAGAGTAGTAGGATAAACCTCCCGTCCATCCTTTCTTTAATCTGCAATCCGTCTGTACGGATTGCCACGTGACATCCATTCTCTGTCAGTCAGTTATGAGTACGAAGCAGAAAGCAGCAGTCCCCAGATGCCACGTGTCAATATTGGGAGAGGCAATTGATTGCTTCTCCAAAGAGTAGGTAGGAAGGATAAACCTCCCGGCCATCCTTTCTTTAATCTGCAACAATCCGTACGGATTGCCACTTGTCAATCTTGGGAGTGATCTCCCTCTCTGTCAGTTATGAGTATACAAAGCAGAAATCAGTGCCCAGATGCCACGTGTCAATCTTGGGATGGGAGTGATTTCCCTCTCTTTTGTTGTTTCCCTTTGTCCCTCTCTCTCTCTCTCTCGCTCTTTCCATCCCCCCTCCTCTCTCTCTCTCTCACGATCTCTTCCATTTCTCTCCCATCGTCCCTCCTTCCACGGGATTTGCCAATCCCGCCTCCTTGCCTCCGGACGTCCCGACGGCTGCCTCCCGCTTCTTCTGTATACGCCATCCTTTTGCAACGTCGTTCTTTTCTCTCTCTCTCTCTGTTTTTTGTTTCATCGTTCTTTTCTCTCTCTCTCTCTCTTTTTTGGTTTGTGTTGAGTTTGGTGGCAGTGCTGTCTTGACTGACCGACCCCTCGATCCAGCCCTCGAAAGAAAGAGGAAGTGTTCCTCTGCCCTTCCCTCAGTATCATAGGATAGGGGTTCATCATCAAGTTGTAGGTCGCTGCCAGATTCTACCATAGCTGAAACGTCGTTCCTTCCCTTCGCTTCCCTTCTTACGTTCTCCACTCAACTCGTTGGTCTTGATAATCACTAAGTCATCCATATCCCCATGTCATCCATATCCCCATCTTCTTCAATACACTCGTCACGCCGCCGCTCACTCGTCTTGCACGCTGATCTTTTCGTCACAGCCATCAACCATCAACCTCCTCCATATTCACAGCTCTCGTCTCCATGTATTACCCCTTCTCATCTCCTTATTTATTTCCCCTTCTGCATGATTTTAGTTGACCACTACCATCTTCACCCGAATAAAACGCCCGGTCGTTATAGCCGTATCTGGTGCAATTTTCAGTCCAGATGCAGCGGTAATGACCGGGGCGTTCTATTCGGGTGGAAGACGGTAGAGTGATGAAGTGCGTAGCTATCTTCTTGACTACCCTCTTCACTCGAATAGAACGCCCGGTCATTATCGCTGCATCTGGACTTCAAAATGCCCCAAATACAGCTATAATGACAGGGCGTTATATTCGGGTGAAGAAGACGGTAGCCTCATCTTTGTTCTCTCCTTACTTGTATTACAGTATGATCGTCTTACTGGTCAATTTTGTATCTTTATGTATATCAATAAGATTCAATATGAGAAAATTGATTGCTACTGTTAATTAAATTATATTGAGATAGATCAAAACGATTATGATAATTGGCAAGCCAATAAAATGGAACAATTGTTTTTGTTCTGTTGATAGTTATAGACAGATTTTGATACCAGTTTGTATTTTTTGAAAATGATAAAAAAAAAAATGATAAAAGACACTAATACAGATTCTCAGTTTCGTTCCCATCATCACTTTTTATCTGCGTTTGTTCCTTGATTATGATGACCATCATCCAGAGCATGTCCATTCTTACTTTCTTCGTTGTGTACATCCTCTTGTTGGCTGCTGTTTTATCCCATCTTGTTGGACGAGCTTCTTCTCTATGTTGATGTCTCTGCTACATTGAGCCACCACCAGAGTAGGTGTTCATGGTGGTGGGCCACCACCATATCTCCGTGGCGGAGATGATAGGAGTATGGCAAATCCAAATCACATCTGACTCCTCAGCGGCCACACTTATGACATCTCATCTTCTCCGCAGCACCTCCCTCAACGTCCACATCATCACTCACGGCTTCATGTCGATGATTTCTCCTATCTGTCTCCTATCCTCTCTTATCTAGTGACATCTTTCTCCCTTCTGGACGTTGATATGTTGAAGTTGATGGTCTTCTCCTGTGCTGGCATGTGGGCCAGGTTCTTGGATCTTGATGGGATGTAGCGAAGGGGGATGGCATTGCCCAAGGACACAATTACATTCTACCGTAGTTGTTGTCGCCCTCATTTACTACACCACCTCTCTTTCTCCCCTCCTCTCTTGTAATCCTCATCCTTCCCCTTGGCGCCGTCATCACCAACTCTGGTTTGTATGGATCATATCCTCTCTCTCTCTCTCTCTCTCTCTTCCCTGCTCTGTTTCACCAGAGCGCGCCTTCACTCCACAGCTTGAAATGTTTAAATGCGCACCATGGACTGTCCTCCTCCCAGTTTGCTTGAGATTCGGAGTTTTGTCTTTTTTGTTTTTTTAGATATTTAAACAATGCCACGTGCCGAATCTGGAACCTAGTTAGTTTGGCCGAGATTCGGAGTTTTCTCTTTTTTGTTTTTTTAGATATGTAAACAATGCCACGTGCTGAATCTGGAACCTGATTAGTTTGGCCGTTTTTTTGTTTTTTTAGATATTTAAACAATGCCACGTGCTGAATCTGGAACCTGATTAGTTTGGCCGAGATTCGGAGTTTTGTCTTTTTTTTTTTTTTTAATATATTTAAACAACGCCACGTGCTGAATCTGGAACCTGATTAGTTTGGCCGAGATTCGGAGTTTTGTCTTTTTTGTTTTGTTTTTTTAGATATTTAAACAATGCCACGTGCTGAATCTGGAACCTGATTAGTTTGGCCGAGATTCGGAGTTTTTTTTT